ATGCAAATGTCGACATGGAACATATCATTATAGAAACATTAACTCAGAATTTATCATAAGCTTAAATCTAAAATGCAAAACTATAAAATTCTTGAGAGCTAATAGGGGGAAAATAGCCTACAAAACTTTTGTCTTGGCAATACCCTTTCAGTACCATACCCAAAGATGATGCATGGAAGGGGAAAAGACCAACTGGTAGTTTAGTTAAAAACCTTCCACTTTGCAAAAGATGCTAATGCAGTTAAAGTAGTTAGTTACAACTGAGAGAAAGTTTCTGCGGGATATTTTCTGGTAAAGGACTAGTATCCAAAATAATTGAGAACTTTTTTTTTGAGAGGGGGTGTGTTTCGAGACAGGGTTTCTCTGTGGCTTTGGAGCCTGTCCTGAAACTAGCTCTGTAGAACAGGCTGACCTCAAACTCACAGAGATCCACCTGCCTCTGCCTCCCAAGTGCTGGGATTAGAGGCATGTGCTACCACCGCCTGGCATAGAATTAAGAACTCTTAAATTGAAACAAGAGAACAGACAACTCAATTTTAAAATGGGCAAAATATACACAAGAAATGTATTAGGATGTGGGCTACAAGGTCTTTGTGTTACATTTTGGCCACAGACATAGCTCATTCTGTCTGTGCCTACAGAACTTGCATGAAGACCAACTCAAAAGTAAAGGACTAGGACTGTAAAGATTGCTCAGTGAGTAAAAGCACTCAACGCACAAGGTTGACAGCATGAGTCCAATCCTGTAATGTATAGAGGAAGAAGAAAACTAGAAACTGTCACATATCCACATGGCACATGTACACCTGTGCCTATGTTCATAAATCACACACACACACACACACACACACACACACAATTTTAGGACAGGACAGCATTCAGGTGGTGTCATGGTTACTAATCACAGCTCTTATGCGGGTTTACCATGAGAACGGAGATTTGAAACTACAGTTTGGTGAAGAAAGAGCATGGCAAGATCACAGATGAGGTAGGGTCAAAAGCATCTGTAACTGTTAAGGAGATTGGTAGTACTTAACACAACCCCTCCGCTTGGACGATGCTGTGAGGGCAGGCCCCACCCACTAAAGGCTCCGGCTTATGAAAACACAAGATCATTTCTAAGGAGAGACTAAACTGAGAATGCTGCTGAAGGGGTTCCTTGCTCGGCAATAACTCTCCAGACACGTTTCTCCAGGTCATCCTAGAAGGAACAGCGTCGCTGGTGGAACTGTGGTTCAAAGGAAGTCAGGCAACATTTCCTGGCAGAACTGCGCAGTGTTGGTCATGTTTTTCAGGCACGAATGATCCCAGAGTGAGAGGGTAAAAAGACTGCACAAAGGTTCCAGAGAGCCATTGAGGGCATGCACTAGGTATCAGGGGTGGATTCCCTGCAAGCAGACCCTGAGAACCCATTACATGAAGCCAGGAAGATGAAGCCTAAGCAGGAATGTGCACCCCAGGATATTTGCAACGCCAGGCACATGAATACCGAGGAAAGCTGCACACACACTTTTTTTTTTTTTTTGTCTTTCCATAGAAGGATGTGTATTTTGAACCCCTGGCCTTTAATGTATATCTCAAGACCAGCAAAATAAGGTGGATGGGATTTTAATGTGGGTAGCCTGAATTAACATCGATTTTTAACAATATCTTTTGACCCATAGACATTGGATTTCTTTCTACTTATTTATGTTTTCTTTAATTTTTAAACAGCTTTGTGACTTTTAGTATGCACATCCCACATTTCTTTCATTAAATGTACTCATAAGTGTATTTTTTCTAGAGTAAATTAAATTTTTATTACTTTATTTTTGGATTTTCCATTACCAATAAATTGAAAAACACTTGATTGTTACATATTGATTTTGTAACATTGCTCAACTCATTTATTACTTTCAGTAGGTTCTTTAACATTTTTTCATATACAGTATCAAGGCATCTGCACAGATTTATGTCTTCAGTCTGGATGCTTTTTTCCTAATTGCTCTGGTTAAACTTCTAGCATGAGACTGATTAGAAGCTGCAAGAGTAAGCATTTTATCTTGTTCTATTCTTAGAGTGAAAAATTCAATCCTTTAACCATTAAGTATTACATTAGTTGTAGTTTTTTCATAATGATTTTTATTAGGTTGAAGAAATGTTCTTCTATTCCTAGTTTGCTGAATGGTTTACATCATGAAAGTATGCTAGATTTTGCCAATTCTTTTGTGTGCGTCTATTAAGATGTCTATGGTATTTTTAGTTTTATGATATTCATATGGCATAGAATATTGATTTTCAGATGTAAAACCAAACTTAGATTCCTAGAATAAATCTCAGAAATCGAGGAAGCAATCTTTTTCTTATATTCTCTTGAGACATGGTCTTACTATGTAGCCAGGCTCGCCTCAAACTCATAATCCTCCTTCCTCAGCCTCCTGGGCACTGGGACTATAGGTGGTTACCATCCTGCCCAGCTGTAAATCCCACTTGGTTATGATGCATAACCCTCTTTTTACATTGGTGGATATCACCTGATTATAGTATTTTGACAATAACTTGTAGTTGATCATATCCTCCTTACACTTTAACAATGAGTAATGGATGATGTATGAAGACCCTGTTAGTTAACCACTCTATGCAGGAGGTTTCCCTGAGTGCTCATCTAGATAGTCTTGATATGCATGGAGTGTGTCCAACTCATGCTAAGGAAAGCAGAGTGTACAAGGTGTCATTTTAGCTAGCAAAACTTGCAGAAATAAACCTTCAAATCCCTAAATGGACTCATTTTATATTTATATCTACATCTATAATGTTTGAGGCAAAATTATAAGTTAGAGTGACATATCTATCTCATCATTTAATGTCTGGTCTTCTTGGGATCTAGTTTCAACATGGAGGCTTGTTAGCACACACACAGACTCACAGACAGCCACCACCTGTACACACACACACACACACACACACACACACACACACACACAACCTAGGCAGCTTATAAAACAAAACATTTAATTTGGAGCTCATGGCTCCAGAGGGATAGAGTCCATGACCATCATAGTGGGGAGAATAGCAAGAGGCAGGCATGGTGCTATCGTAGTAGCAGAGAGGGTATTATATCTTGATCCATAACCATGGAGCAGAGAGCAAATTGAGAATGGCTTTTGAAACTTCAAAACCACCTTTAGTGATACACCTCCTCCAAGTCCATACATCATAATCCTTCTTGAACAGTTCCATCAAATAGGGGCTAAGTGTTCAAATATGAGTAGGTAGGGGTCATTCTCATTGACAACACCTCTGTTGCATTTATTATGTCAGATGGAATCCAATAGTTTATGTCAAAGTAGACTGGCAAATTATACCTCTCTGAAGCCACTAAGAAAATGGTGGCTGGTGAAATCCATCAAAGTAATTCTATACTATTTGCTAATTCTATTTTACTGTTGTTCCTACTACAAATACAAGAACTTTGAAAAGGCAGAGTATGGCTGGGAGACGACTTAGTTGGTACAGTGCCCCATTTCTTTCCCCAAAGTGTGAGCATCTGAGTTGGATCTCCATCATCCATAAAAGACAGAGAGCCCAGCAGCCCACGTGTGCAGGCCCAAAGCGGGAAGGCAGAAACAGGCAAATCCTTGGGGCTCCTTGGCTAGCCCATTGTAGCCTAATCTATGAGCTCCAGCTTTGGTGAGATTCTGTCAAACAATAAATCAATAAACAAAAATGTTAAAAAGATGGAGAGGGAGGAATGTACTGTTCACACAAGAAACTGCTCTCACCTCAAAGGTGAACTGAGTATGAGTGAGCTCAAGTTTTACAATACAGAGATAGAATATCTTATGTAAGTTAAGTCATTTCAAATATTGGTGGAAACATTGGGTGGAAAAATCCCTATTACAGGCCCCAGATGTGATTACATTCTTAGCCTCTGGGCTGGTGGAAGCTAGTGCCCCGTTAAGTTAATACATTCTAAACATCATCTGATATTTACCAGGATGCTGGCTATTCAGGAACACAGGTGGGCTAGAACAAGCTATTAATTAAAGGGGCTAAAGGCAACTAAAGATAAATTATAATTAGGCTCTGGACTTGCAACATTATAATTTCTCCCCAATCACTCAAACTCTAATTTAATCACTCTTACAAGAACTTCAATTTAAGTTCGGACTTCTTTCCAGGAATCTCAATCGCCACACCCAAAGTCCACCTCAGGCCTACACCGGCAAAAAAACACAAGTGCATGTCCTCAGTATGTCCACACACAGTGTTAAAACAACAGATTCGCAGGGCGGTGGTGGCACACGCCTTTAATCCCAGAACTCGGGAGGCACAGGCAGGCAGATCTCTGTGATTTCGAGACCAGCCTGGTCTACAAGAGCGAGTTCCAGGACAGCTTCCAAAGCCACAGAGAAACCCTGTCTCGAAAAAACAAAAATATATTCATTTTTTTCCCATCTTTAACATAAATTTGGCCCAGTACTGTTCCTACACAATTATACATAAGAAGTTGCTGTATTTACGGTTTTGCTATACGTTAAAACCTGGTTTCAAAGCCCTAAATAGAAAGTCCTATTGGCTGTAAACACCCACTACAGTAATGTGCGAACAAATAAGGCGTTCCTCCATCCTTCCCTAAGCCATGGGCCCTGATCCCTCTACCAACTAGAAATGCCCAAGACTTGATGTGGAACCCGATTCCCTCCCTACTTGGGAACTTCAGGATAAAGGAGACTCCGTTCACTCGCGGAAACGTAAAGACTTCCAGAATTACTCTACATTGTCTCTGACCGGATAAACCTCACAGAGAAGATGAACCTATCCAAACTTTTAAACGCAGGACTTGATTGCACAGCGACCCTGAGCAGCTGCTACTGCGCATGAGCCCAAACTGCCTCCTGCTTTAAGCTTCAGGCTCCCAGACTGGTGTTCGAACTTCCCGGCTAGACCTAGCCCCCGCCCACCTCTCACCCTCCCTCCCGACGCACGCGGCGCGCTGACGTCACGGCGAGCCAGGGCCGGTGGGCGCCTGAGGCCCCGCCCCCGCCGCCCGGTACGCGGCCCTGGCGGCTCGACCCCCTATGAGGCTGTTGTGGCGGCCGCGGTCTCCGGCACTGGTGCTGCTGTTCCTGCGGCCGCTGCTCGCTTCCGGGGACTTGGCGTCCAGCCCGCAGACCCGAGCCATGAACCCGGGCGGCGGTGCGCGGGGCTCTCCGCCGGACAACCACGGCTTGCAGCGCTCCACCGTGCCAGGCTCCGACCCGCAGCGCAGCAACGAAGTGCTCCTGCTGGCGGAGGCGGAGGGATCCGCCCCGGAACCGAGGCACCACGTCCTCTACTTCCCGGGGGATGTGCAGGTACCGCGGGCCCGGCCTCCCCGACACGCCCACGCGGGTTCTCACACGGGCTGGGGGAGCGCTCCGGTTACTGCCGGAGCCCCACCCGGGGAAGGGGCCTCGGAGGGTCACGGTCTCCGGAGGGCAGCTGTCAATCCAGGTGCCACTGTGGGAAAGAGCAGCACGACAGGGAACGGGACATGCACGCTCCAGCCTTGCGACTGTGTGTGTGTGTGTGTGTGTGTGTGTGTGTGTTTGGGAAACGCTGACTAACTAAAATACATCTATTGCTAAAGTGTGACCTTTTCTGTAACCCCAAAACACAGTAGTGGAAGAAATGTCATTGCCAACAATGCTAGTGATATCGAGGCCCATTTGAATTCAACATACCACGTTTTTTTTTTTTTTTTTTTTTTTTTTTTTTTTTTTTTTTTTTCTTTTCCGTGTTGCTGGTTTTATAGCTGCAGACAAACGTCCATGCTAGAGCTGTCCTGGAAGATGAGTTTTAATCTAAAACTGCGTGGTGTAGTGAATGCATTAGCTACACGAGGGTATCTGAATTAGTTAAAAAGAAGAGTCAGGGTTCACCGTCTCATTAGTTTCATCGCCACATTAGTTTCATCGCCAAGTGTTGAGTCACCACAAGTAACCTGTGTGTACCATGTTGACAGTGCAGATACAGACTGCATTTCCGTAGAAAATCAGCCAACCCAGTAAGTTCTGCTAGCGGTAGGGTAGACAGCAAGTTAGAACATAGCTAGATGTTTTCCCCATACTAGAAAACTATTATTATTTTGAACTTGGTACTTGAAAATGATACACTTACTGGTCATAGTGGTATTTAGTATCTTCTCTTGCTCTGGAAACCAGTTGACTAGTTGGCTGCTAATGGGAACTGGAAAGAACCTCGTGCCCTCATCCTCAGAATGGAAAACAAACATGTTGCTTCTGACATTAACTTCCAGAGATTTGTGATCAGCTACTTCATGCATTCCTTTGATGGTGGTGGCCTTGGGGGCTGAGTGCTTTCTGGTGGAAGTGTGCCAGACAGAACATCCACCTGTTTTGGAACAGGACCTAAAGTGTTGTAGATGTAGTAGGTGTAGTCTCAGGATTGTCTTTCATTTCACCACAATCCATTCCATTAGCTCTTGGGACAGTGGCAAAGCAGAGTGTGGAGTCTATGGAGGACCAGGTCTTCTGGTACTACTTCGGTATTCCTTTTAGAAATCTGAAGTCATGTGGCATGCGCCTTTAATCCCAGCACTCGGGAGGCAGAGGCAGAAAACAAAAAAAGGAAGGAAGGAAGGAAGGAAGAAAGGAAGGAAGGAAGGAAGGAAAGGAAGGAAGGAAGGAAGAAAGAAACCTGAAGTCATCCTGTGGATGGATTTCATACCTCATCTCTAAATCAGCAACAAACACAGTGCCTCCACCTTAGTGTATCTAAAATGATGAGAACAGTGGCTTAAAGGTGAAGATCTCATCACACCACCCCTTTCAAAACCTTCCATATGGCTTTTGTGTTCCTCAATAGTAAGACCCACGGTCCTGGGGTACCAGGGTTGCAGATGTCATCAGATCTTGCTTTCCTGAAGGATAAATGACTATGAGGATATGTCTTGATCTTGTTCTCTGGGTCTTCTGGCACTTTCTTAGGCAGTTCCCTTCAGCCGGCCCCTTGCTTGCTCACTCCGTACTTGGATTGTGTACTTTATGTTCTGTGAAGATAGAGTGTACCATTTCCCCAGTATAGTTCCACTCCTTCTCCTCAGTTGGTTCAGAGGACAGTCCATCTGCTTTAAATCTATATCACCAATGTTTCTAAACTCTTGCAAACAGCAAAATTTCTGAAAAAATTCTTTGGACCCCACCTCAGTGTAATGTGGGATGGACCTCTAAGTTCCTGCAGGTCAGCAAGCATCTAACTAGGCTAAGCATCCTAGGTTCTGCCTCACTGGGGAAGAGAAGCATAGCCTCCAGTCTTTACTTCCTACAAGCATAGTAAGTGCATTATTCCCCAGTAATACGAAAACCCCTTTCATTAGGTTAACTATAGTTAATTGCCTGGGTGTAGAATCAAATTGACTGTGGGGGCATCTGGTCCTGTCTCAGGATGTGGAAGTACTTAGACCTGGTTCTTGAGTCTGGGCTTTGATGTGACAGTAACAATCCCAGTTTCATTCTGTTGCTCAGTTCCTCCGTATTAACATTTTCTTCCTTAAAATGAATTAAATAGGAGGCAGGAAAATTAGTTAAGTGTCTTTCCCAGCTACATAATGAGTTCAAGGCCAGCCTAGACTACATGAGACCTTGTCTCAAATTAAAAAAAACAAAACAAAACACATCAAGATGGCTTTGTGGTTGTTCTTTTCCCAGTGGACAACCTGAGTTCAATTCCCAAGACTCATATGGTAGAAGGAGAAAAGCACTCCTGACCTCCATACTCCCTGGCACACACAAAAAAATAATGTTTAAAAACAATAACAAAAGGTAATAGATAAGCCCTTCCAGATCAAAGCTATTTATTTTATGACAGTTTTTGTATAATAAACCTGGATGTGCAGAAGGTAATGGCAAAATCCACAAAAAGTCAACTTAAGATCCTCTTGGAATATATTTAAAAATGTACATAGCAAGCTACTAATTAATAGACATATATGGCAAACTATTGATGAAATAGTAATATTAATGAAACTATGAATGAAATAGAAATATTAAGGAATTGAACGTTACAGTGAGAAAATTATCAAAGGACACAAACATAGTTAACAAAACTAAAAAAATTGCCAGCAGACAGAAAAATGTTTAACCTAATTTGAAATCAAATATGCAACTTAAATCAAGAGCATTGCGTAATCTTATCCATATTTTTAAAAATTAACCATTGGCATTGAGGCTAAGTTAGAGTGTGGAAAACAGTGTAATCGTGTACATTTCTAGTGTAGGTTTTACTGTTATTTCCAGTGGTATTTACTGATATCTAAAAGCTATTATGCAAATCTGTGTGGGTACAGAGTCATGACTTTTAGCATATTTTTAAGGGAAAATTATATCTAAGCTTCTGGTTGCTTAGTAGACAGGGAAAGAATATTTTCTTATTATATAATCACTTATTTGGATATGTACTAGAGAACACTGAACCTAATTTTAATTATTTCTTATATAGGTGAACTTATCTTTGCAGATAGAGTTAATTTTTTGTAGTCTATTTTTAAGTAGTAAAAATGTACATATCACTAAATATTCAAACTGTGAAAGGTTTTAAAGTGAAAAAGTCTCTTACCTCATTACTTCCAGCCTCCCAGTACTCAGGGAACTGAGACAGGAGAATCACAGCCTGGGTGGTAGTGTGATATACACTGTCTCAAAAATCGGAGTTGGGGGGGGAGCAAATATCACCATTAATAAAAATAAATGGAAAGTAAAATACATATATTGTATGGTCAAAACAAAAAATATTATTACTTTGCATAGAATGCATCTAAACAAATGAAATCTATATACAAAAGACAAACGGACAGACAAAAGTCTAAATAACAGTAAGTGAATGAACAAAATTTCAATGTCATCCTAATTTTAATACATCCTCATTTGAGCTATCCATACCTGTGAAATTGAACAAATTAAAAAGAAAACCATGGGAGGCAATGTTTTAATCTCTGTCACCAACTTTAAATTATGATTATTTAAACCTAGTTTTGCACCTCTAGGAATTTTAGAATGTAGTGACAGATGTATACTAAGGTTTTCTGTGCTGTCCTTACTGCTTTGTAGCAAACAAACTGAAGTCAGGCATCTTAATCGGGTTGCCAGCAGAACCTTAATGCCTATGATAGATTTCATTACAGATATACAGGGCAGCAGCTCACGAAAAGGACATATTTTTTAATTATGTCTTGATCAAAAGGTCTATAATGAATCAAATTCATATTTTCAGTTGAATTGGGGAACTTCATTATATGTGTACTAAATCAAAATTATAAATTTGTGAAACTAAAATGATCTAAGTTGTTATTCAGAAATTTTTAATACTTAAAGTAAATTTTATTACACTGTCTCTTAATGAAGATTAAGCTGAGTGAAGTGTTTCATTCAAAATTACAGCCAGAAAGTAATACAGCTTTTAGGTTTTATTTTGAGTACGTTAACCATAGGCTGTCAAAACTTCCTCAATAATAATGTAAAGCTTTTTATAGGTAAATCCACTTTTAATGCCTGTTTCATGTTTCTTTTCAGAATTATCATGAAGTTATGACTCGTCATCCTGAGAATTACCAATGGGAAAATTGGAGTCTAGAAAATGTTGCCACCATCTTAGCCCACCGGTTTCCTAATAGTTACATCTGGGTGATAAAGTGTTCCCGAATGCATTTGCACAAATTCAGCTGCTATGACAATTTTGTGAAAAGCAACATGTTTGGTGCACCAGAACACAATCCGGACTTTGGGGCCTTTAAGCACTTGTATATGTTATTAGTTAATGCTTTCAGCTTAACTCAGAATGGTTTGCTGTCCAAGAACAGGAGTGTTCGGAACAAGGATTGCAAAGTGTCTAGCTGTGAGTCTAATTCTTCTACTGCTAGTAATGGTGGCCAAGAGGAAAAAGAGAGGACTTGTGAAAACGGGGATGAATCTGCTGCAAGTTTTGCTCCACTGTCATTGAATGGTGCATCATTTACTCTGATTGGGTTCAGTAAAGGCTGTGTTGTTTTGAACCAGTTGCTGTTTGAGTTGAAGGAAGCCAAGAAAGACAAGGACATAGACACTTTCATCAAAAGTATAAGAACGATGTATTGGCTGGATGGTGGTCATTCGGGAGGAAGCAATACTTGGATCACAAATCCAGAAGTATTGAAAGAATTTGCTCAAACAGAGATCAGTGTTCACACTCACGTAACACCTTACCAAGTACACGATCCAATGAGATCCTGGATTGGAAAGGAGCACAAGAAGTTTGTTCAGATACTTGGGGACTTGGGTATGCAGGTGACTAGCCAAATTCATTTTGTAAAGGAAATGCCCTCCATAGAGAATCACTTCAGGGTTCATGAAGTGTTCTGAGACTTAATATGCTTGCTTAGTAGGAGAACCAACTACTTCGTTTTGAACACAGATGATGAGTTGTAATAGTAATTAGATGCATTGTCATGTGTGGGCTAAGAACATAGACATTCCAAAAATATGAGTGTCATATACGGTAAGATTCCTTTTGTGTAAATAAATGGGCAGCTTTAAATTTTGATTGGATTAGAATTAATTTGGAGTCTAGAAGGGTAGTTTGTGATAATTCTATGTCCTTTAAAAATTAAAGATACTTGGTGTTAGTCTTTTTAAAAGGTAACAAAATTGGTGTTTGAAATAGCTGATTTTCTGAGACCTGTTTTAAACCAACATTGATAATTACTGCATTCAGCTGTTGACAACAGACACTACTTCTTTCTGTCCAAGGTTCTGGGAGCAGGGGCTCTTGCACCCTGGAGAAGTTTTGTGAACCCTTGCACTCACTCTCAGTGTTCGACCAAGTGTTTGTTTGTTTTGTTTTGTTTTGTTTAAAGTCAAAATATATTTATTCCCTCATATCCAAGATCATAGAATTGGATAGTTGGTTTTTAAAACATATTACAGTAAGCGGTGTAACGTAATTCTTAATTGACAGTTTTTAATTAACTGTTAGTGTGCTCTCAACAGGCGACAGATTCCCCGGACCTAAATCAGTGTTTCTTCAGAAGCATGGCTTTGTCTGCCAAGAGAAAATAGCTTTCTTTGGCCAAATGTAAAATTACATTAAGATAAGAAAGGTTACAGAGGAAAGTTTGAAGACACAAAAATTTAAATTTTGGCCCAGAAACTGAATTTGCTTAACACTGCTACATAATTTGGGTGAAGTTTCCTTCTGCCCATTTTTCTTTACTAGATAAATGCATTTTGAAACACCAAAATCTAAACAAATTTCAAACAATATTGGAACAAAGCTGCTTGGTTATAAAAAGGGGCACTTTTTTATTTATGAATAAATAGATACAGCTTTATAGGTCATGGAATAACCAAACAGGGAAATAACATGCTACTTTAGGAGTGAAAAGAAAATGTATACTAAAGATTAGTATCTTAACATATGCCAAGTGTTTTCTTGGTTTCTTACAAAATTACATTATATTGCAAATTTCCTTAACTTTAAGCAGTGTGATTGGGTGGCTACATTCAATTTGCTTAATAATTGTCAAATGTATCACATAATGTAAAATAGCTGAATTCCTGAGTGGTCAGACTGAGGGAAAGCTTTAGTTTTCACAGAATTAACTGAAATGGAAAGAAAAGGTTTTTTTTTAAGAATTCATTTTAAAAGTGTGAGTTAGTTCTTCACCTCTCCACTCATGTGAATGTTGTTGTTACAAGTTAAAGTGATGTTGCTCCAGGGGATACCTAGAACCTCTATTGCCTCTGGAGGTAGTGTTGAATAGTACAGATACTCTGGAGTGGAAATGACTGTTAACCCACACACAGTTTTTCTGTATAATACTACAAATTCCACGTTTGTTTAAAACTGTGTATGTTAAATTTGTTGTTAATGTGTGTCCTACTTGATTGTGCCTTTGTAAAGACACTGAGAGAAGTGGTTCTACAAATGTGAACGTTGTTACCACCACAGCATGAATGTCTAATTGTATTAAAATCATAATCCCCAGGAATTACTTGGATGTTTATCTGTTCACTTAGACTTTGTCATTTTGTGTCTGCTTTTGCTTCCCTGTCTTTCAAGTGAACAACTTTCCTTTTCATTGAGTTCACCTCTTGTTAATTATTCCATAACAGTTGGCGTTATACTCAGTTCTTCTGTTGGGCTCCTAAAGGAAGTCCATAAAAACCTCCCCCTTTTCTTTGCTTATCGTCTTAGCTGTCAGTACTACTTTGTCCCCATAAAAGACTGTTGGAATATAGTGTGATTCATTTTATTTCTGCAGTGGCCAAGCACCCACCTAGCTAAGCCACAAGGATCTAACATCAAGTCCCAGCATGTTAGTAGAGAAATACACAACAGCCTAGAGCTTAGGAAGGAACATCTGAAACAAAGTACTGTATCTCATTTGAAGGCTTTCCCTTTAGAGAAACATGAATTAAGGAATAGGGTAGTTAAGTGGTCTCATTTATGACTCGCAATGCTTTAACTGAAGTGGCCTCACAATTCTAAGTCAGTGGTGGACACAGGTCCTCAAGAGTAATTTTAGTGTCTCCTGGTATGTTTAAGACACCCACTGATGACTTCTACATTTGAAGCAAGGTTGATACCCGAGTGGCAGTATGTCAGTTCCTCTTGCAACACTGGAGAAAGGAGTCATATTGGCACAGTCCCAAATTCTGTAACCACCTGCCTTTCACCTCCGTGCATGACCTATCCTACTCCACAACTCCTAAAATTTAACTTCATTTTTTTTTTTATAGGTATGAGATATGCCTTGTTATTGGGTTCTTTGCAAATGTTCACATAGCTGCTACAAAAGGATAAAAGAAATTCAGCCTTGTTGACTTGTCTCTTGGTATTTCATACATTTTGAAATTATGAAATAAGTACTGTTAATGTTATATGCCAAGACAAATATTACATCATGAAAAGCTAATAAGTTTTAAAATGTGTTTTTGAACATAATGTACAAAACCACAGATGTCTCCCGGGACTACTCAGCCTCATCTCAGCAATTGCTGTCACGGGTTGCTTGTATACCTAGCAGAGCTAATTCTGTCTATGTAAACGTTTACACAGAGCATGCACTGTACAAATGGCGGCAGAGTTTTAAGGTTTGTGTGTAATTAAACTGGACCAATTCCATGCCAGCTCACAACTGCCAGACTCCTTGGTTGCATATTTTGTAACTTGTTCTGCCATCTTCCTATTGCCTGTTAGTTTTCATTTGTGTCTGTGTCTGTATATAGTAAGCTGTACAGCAAGTTTTGTTGGGAGGAAACTATTTTGTTAAGCCTCAATCAGTTGGAAGAATGGGGTAGGACTAAGATGGTCTCTACCACTGTTATCTCAGTTTCTGTAGTAGTTCAGTTAACCAGAACCAGAGGAGTTAACAAGTCTTAGAAGAAAGAGTGACTAGCATCAGTATGTGCTGGTCCTCTATCAGTTATACTCTCAAGATGAAAAAAGTAAACATAGATCCTCCAGTTTCCTTCTATGCTGCCTAACAAGAGTATTCTATAGGTCAATTTGGTTCTAGTTATAACTTTTCTACATGACCCTCTCTTTTGGTACTGGGATCTGAAACCAGTTACCCATGCTAGGTGAGTGCTCTATCACTGTGTGTTCCCAACCCTCTATGAGACTCCGGTTAGTTTATTTAAAGCTAAGTAAATACTGTATGAACTAAGGGTTTACATCTTTTCCTTTAAAGTCACTAAGTAAGTGCTTTGCTCATGCTAAGAAGATAAAAAAACTGATAATTAGACCTGGCTAGCATATTAAAACATTTTCCCCAATATACATTTAACCTTTGCTTGTCTCAACAATTTCAGTTTATCTTCCAAAGATGTCTAGGAAAAGTCAATTTTTATATACTTTTCCTTTTTAATATCTGAAATTAATCCAATTCTTAAACAGGGCATGAGTGAATGAGTTACCTCCAAGAGTAACTATTTCCTCTGTAATTACAATGTATTGAGTTGATGGGCTCAGATTACTTTAGATGAGCACATGTTCAGTAAAGACAGTTGTTCTTGATGCCACTGAGTAATCTGGTCTAAAGAATATATATAGCATGCTCGTTCGCAAGTGCGCGCGCGCGCACGCACGCACACACACACACACACACACACACAGCTCACTGTCTTCAGAGATTTACGTTACTGGTCTATTGTGGATAAATTCCAGAACTCATAATCTATCACATCATCAAATGTACTCATTTTTAGTCCTGGTAACTCAAAGCATCCGTAAGTTTTATTAAATATCTAAACCATCCTGTTCTCTCATACATTTCCTGTGCCTCAAGGAAGAGCATCCCACTAGTGTTTAATTTTATAGCGTGTGATGACGACTGGCTCATTGATGGACAAGGCTAGGCCATTTCAGAGCATTAAGGCTAAGAGTTTAGTAGAGAATTCTGGAAAGCGGCTTCATGTAAGACAGAGCCTGTGGATTCCAGCCAGACAACGCCACTGCATACAAATGAAGACACACAAGGCCCCAGCTGCTACTGGCAACTATCCCATGACCACGAGGGTAGCTAGACCTAAGATAATACCAATCCTGTGGTTGAAAGAGTGGGGTGGGGGTGGGGTGAAAAAAAGTTTTTGGTGGCATTACTGAATCACTGCAAAGACCAAAGAAAGACATTCCATCACTAGACTTTATGTAGTGTGATTGAATACATTTTAAGTTATTTACATCTTAGAGCTAAAGAATGGTTCCACTAAGCATTCTCAGTCTGTATTAAGTAGAAATCAGATATATATCTCCTTTATACCATAAATCTGAGACTGATTTATCCTACTTTTAAAAAGCATCTTTAAATATTTATATCTTGTATAATTTTCAAACACAAACTGATTTCCATTTATTTTTAAATTTTTACTACATTTAGTTCATTTTTTACTTAAAGTTTTTGCTGTAGGCTTTGTCTTGAATGCGCAAGACCATTTGGCGTGCATAGAAGTCCCTGTATTCCTCTGGTAGTTCAGCCAGTGTTTTCAAAGCTCTGTCCAAGATTTGCACAGCTCTGGATGCTGCTACAGGGTCTTTGTTACCATAGGTATCTGTTTTGTCATAGCATTCCGATGGAAGGTGCTTCCAAAAGACATTCACTCCTACTCCAAACTCTTCAGAAATTACATTATGGAACCATAAAGCTGTAGAAAGTTTAAAAAAAAAAAAGTTAAAAATAAAACCTACAGTTAAAAAAAAAACAAATGTCAGTGAAATATCACGAATTGCATATAGCCAATGTAAGAAACAGTCTTTGTAGAAAGCTCCTGTCGTTTGCATACTCCCTGCTTTCCACTCTCATGAACTGCCAGCCAGCTCAGAGAGTCAGGAGCACAGCCCTTGTCTAAACTCCTTAGCAATTCATCTTTCCCATCTAGCTTGAAAGACATCATAAAGTTGTATTTGCTTTGTGATTCTCTGATTTGGGGCAGTCTTTTGTGTGCCATGTTTACACTTTCTGGAGCACACAAGCACGGACCGTTTTGTACACAGAGCATTTTACTTATTTGAAGACTGCCTGGTCCTTTGTGATTCAATACAGTACTTGTTCTCAAAAACGTCCTGTTCCAAAGGCAATCTGGTTCCCTAGCTTAAGCTAGCAAACACTGTAGCCTCAGTTTTTAGTTTTTAGGCAATCAGATTTACCCTCTATTTTTTTCAGCTCCTTTACCATGATTACGAAAAACTACAGCAAATCCTTTGATGGTGGTATGGTAAAAAAGAAACCTGATCAGATTATTTAGCTATATTTTTTCATTTTCACTAGAAAGTTTACTTTTGCAACAACATTTTTCAAAATCTTAAGTGCTATAAGAATATTAAAGAACCCCTCATCGTAACAGATGGAATGCTAATCATGCCAAAAGTGTTTAGTCTTATGAAAGGAGGTTTAAATCTTAGAGACATACATTCTAAGAGTGTTCATGGGAAAACAATACTTACAAAGTAGTCTTCAATGTTTTGGTTTTAATTATAAGGTCTTGTCTTTCAGAATCTTTATTCACTTGTTAGTATATCAGAAAAAGCTAACCATTCTGGTAATTAAACCTAAAGATGGAAATCTTGTTTTGCATTAAAATATATGCAACTACTTAAATTTTGGAAAAATCAAATACAGAGTAAGAGAAAACTACATAGCTCTAATCATGTTCTAAAGACACATAGATTTTAGATGAAGAAGCAGTTGCTGAAAAAGCACAGTACTAAGTCAGTGCATCATGGTTAGATTAGCTGAATGTGGTTCCTTGTGCTCAAGGAATTTACTATCTAACTTCAAGTATGCCACCTGACTTTCACAGTTTATAGATGTTTCAAAAGCTAATTATATCACTGAATAAAGGTGTCAATAGTTTATGAACTACAAACTTATGAATTATAACAAATAGAATTAACCTAAGTAAAACTGGTCAATTAACTCCAATACTTTAAGATCTTTAAAATCTTAAAAGTATTCACTTAAGTATTAATTGCAGATAATAACTATATCACCATAGTTACTGACAACATGGAAATTTTATGAGGATCCGAACTAATGCTTATTTATTGAATATAGGAACTCTATATAGAAAACTTTTCAGATGTTATTATATTTTGATATTTAATAAAAATCTATAATCTCAGAAAATATTTACCATTTCTAAAATGCCTATCTATTTTAGAAATAAAATGGTTTTAAAAAAAACACCAGGTACAACCTTCCCACAGATATAAGGTATATTAATTACTCTATGTTATTTAGCAAAACAACTTAGAATATTATCTTAACAAGTTATGTGCTCCTTTTATGACAGGAATACATTAAGAATACATCATTCTGTGAATAACACAAATGGAATGGCCTACTACATCCCTAGACTAGATGGTACAGCCTATTGCTAGGAGGGTATACACTTGTACAGCAGTTTACTGCTGTCCTGAAGACGGTAGGCAGCTCGCTCTGACACAATGGTAAGCTCCTGTATATCTGGATACAAATAAATACAGAAAACACATTAATGTGGTCTAGAAACCTTACCAGGAATGAACAGAACATCACCAGCTTCAAGGGAACACTCATACCTCCTCGCCTTAGGGAAGAGTGGGTATTTATCCAGGTCAGGGCTGTCAATATCCAGCACTTCAGATTTAGAACCTAGAAAATTCCCAAGAGAGATCATACAGATTAAGCCAAATTCACAGTTTTAAAAAAGTAATCATAGCCAGGCAGTGGTGGTGCATGCTTTTAATCCCAGAACTTAGGAGGCAGAGGCAGGCAGATCTCTGTGAGTTCAAGGCCAGCCTGGTCTACAGAGTGAGTTCCAGGACAGTCAGGGCTGTTTACACAGAAAAACCCTATCTCGAAAGACCAGAGGGAAAAAAAAAGTAATCACAAATATAAATTTGAAACTCAATTCTTTTCAATTACCATATTCATACTGTGAAAACTAACTATTCTTCTCAAACCTAAGGTAATTTTCAAGGATCATTCTTTAAACATGGCAACCAACATCCACTATCCATGTATCCATGCAGTACAATAATATAATCTGAAAATTATTTTGTTTTGAGATAGGGTTTCTCTGTGTAGACCTGGCTGTCCTGGAACTCACTCTGTAGACTAGGCTGGACTCAAACTCAAGAGAGCTGCCTTTGGAGTGCTGGGATTAAAGGTGGGCACCACCATGCCTACCCTTGAAAACTCATTCTTTATACTGCCTATCATCAGTATACATACACAATGGAAAATACATTACATAATTAGGAAGAAGTATCCTACAATGTGGTCTTCCTATATTATTTAAAAATAACAGAATAAACTGTAGAAACATAAAATTAAATCATACCTGATAAATACAAATAGTGTGCATCTCGAGGACTGAACAGTATAACTCGCTTCTTTCCTGTCACTTGTATTAAAAAGTTATCCATTACCTACAGATCAATAAGATGTATGTGTAAGCAGTATCTGTAACTCAAGTCAATGGAACCAATGACATTCTAAATAGTTAACTTCAAATCCTATTCTTTCCCTTTTTGGGGGGTGGGGGTGGGGGTGGGGTTCACAAGGTCTTCCTGTGTTGCTCAAACTGGCCTTCTGATGCTCCTGCCTCAGCTTCTCAGTCGCTGGGATCACGGGTATATGTCACTATATGTCAAGCCCTATTCCTTTTGTGAGATTTGACCCATATAAAACTCTTGCAGTCATAATTCAAATCTAATAATGAAAAGCTTGTACTACATATACAACAACGTCTTTATTGAAGACATTTCTTTCCATGTTTCTAACATGGGAAAGACCAACAAATTAGGAAAACAGGAAGTGGAATAACAACGTAAGTGCACCTGAGGCTGCCCGTGGTTAATATTTGTTTTACTAAGTTGTCAAGGAATGCCCTGGGCCAAACAGAGAGCACCAATGCAACTACTGTTAAGCACTGCATACACGTCCACCCACAATGTGGTTATAAGAACTGTGATTATGCTGGGCAGTGGTGGCGCACGCCTTTAATCCCAGCACTTGGGAGGCAGAGGCAGGTGGATCTCTGTGAGTTCGAGACCAACCCAGTCTACAGGAGCTAGTTCCAGGACAGCCTCCAAAGCCACAGAGAAACCCTGTATCGAAAAACCAAAAATAAAAAAAAAATAAAAACTGATTATGAGACTATTTGTATAGGAGTACAATCAGGAAAATTCCCCAAGTACACTTTTAAATGAATCAGTGTTAATGTTCAGTGTGTACACAAAGGGTACCCTCTCTTGGTACAGAGTGTGGAAACTGTTAAAAGGCAGAGAGGCACATGATTCAGTTAAAGAATGAAAATATACACTGAGTGAGATGTGTGCATGGTCATATATCAATCATCACTACTGACACAATCCTTCTTTTAGCACTAACCCTTTACTTAGCAAACATTAACTCTAATTATAACTACTACTCCTCTGACTTATTTTTAAGAAATGTACTACATATTTGTCAAAGGAAACTACTTAAAATTTAAAGCATAATCTATAAAGTTAAAAACATAGGAAGCACATCACTTTCTCACCATTCAAATAAAACTTTGAAAATATGCTATGATTCTTTGTCTCTCATCTAATTATAGAGTTACTATGTTGAAATCCCCTGTAAGTTTTAAAATGTACTAGAAGAACCATGTACATGTCCTAACAGTTTGGCGTGCTGCCATATGCCTGAATTCCTGCCAGCTGGAGGCAGAGAAAGATCTAAGGTCAAGTCCAGCCAGGGCTTCAAAATGCAACTCCTATTTCAAAACAGCAAAACCTTTGGAAATGTAACAGGTATTGCATAGTGTCTTGTTTTTTCAGCTGCCAACACCAAAGTACACACAATACAATGTAAAATTTGCTTGCATATAGGCAGCAAATAAAGCCAATGAGAACACAAAAGCAAGATCAAAGTCCGTGCATCCTGCTCATCTGTAAATCAGCAAACATTTGGTATTCTCAAGGTAACCTTAATTCTTATTCTTGCAAGCCTTTCCCCATAATCTCTTCCATTCCCCGAAATAACGACTTGGATGGCCAGTCAACTGTTTCATTAAGACACTTCTATCACACTGTGTTTCCACATTTTCCCCCACTAAAACATAACTCATTTCACATCTACAATTCACTGTGTTTGTAAGGATGAATTAGGAGCCATACCACAGAGAAACATGTAAAAACTAGATTTTGCTATCAGCAACTCCATATTACTACTGTCCTACATATGGCTTATTCTCACAGCTCTGTGTTCCAGCCAAGGACACTGCACAGATCTGTAAAGGAGCCTCTAAAGCTCAATCTGTGAACGTTAGACCCGTAAGAGCAATAGATTTCTGAACCTTTACATTTCCTGTATTATAACATACATCATAGTGAGTCCAGAGTTGCAATCCAGGTGAACTAATTCGAAAAACACTGGAAAAGAACTGCCCCTCTTCAAAGAATATTGGAAATTTAATATCTCCTCCTAATGATGGAAACTGCTGTCTGATATCTGCAACATCCTGCATTGACAGACATACAAAAAGACTTAGATTAAAATAACATCTGGAAAGAATTTCAACAGTAAGCAATATCGGCATAACAATTACTGCAAGGCACAACACGGTGAGTAGTAAGGACAAAAGAGGCGAGTGTCTGTTCAGTGCTTTACAGCCCAACGATATGACCGCCACCACCATCGCCCCCCGTGGTTCTCAACCTGTGGGTCAGGACCGTTTGGGATCACATCAGGTACTTACATTACAATTCCTAACAGCAGCAAAATTACAGTCATCAAGTAGCAGCGAGATAATTTTACAGTCGGGGATCATTACAACATGAAGAACTGTTAGGGTGGCAACGTCAGGCAGGTTGAGAACCATTGCTCTAACAGACTTAAGTATCACTACTGCCAACTGTACTATCCCCACTAACACAGAAGCTCGCACTTTCAGAAGATTGACATAATTCCTATCTAGTCTAGCCTTATTAATTTGGCTCTGAATATACATAAAGGCTCATCTAATAAGCATCAGTAATTTTAGAGACGTATTTTATTAGCTGAACTACCATCTGTAAAATATACAGCAATAGGAATTCTTATTGCATAGAAATTAGATGACTATAATATACAGTTCTGAGTAACTAAATAATCAACTTTTAAAGATTCCTCATTTAGGGACACAAATCATTAAAGAGACAGAAGAGAATGAAATGGGTTATGTATCTATAAACAATATAAATTTACAGTGATAATGTGAAAATGCTCACAGACATTTTAAGTAACTGGTTTAAATCCACAATTCTTACCTTCCTTGGGTCTTCTCCAAGAGACCGTAAGTAGTATTTCTCATCCTTAAACATCCCAAAGAAAAACAGTGTAAGTAGTCATTAAAAATAGTGAGAAATAAGAAATGGAGCAAATCTTAAAATGTGGCTTAGTCAAGTCATCTAAAATGTTCACTTATCTCACCCTTTCTACTGATGCCCCCTAGTGGCCACAGACAGAAGCATCTTTATATGTAGCTCATGACTGGATCCAGTAAAAAGGGAAATTCTAAAAGCAACATAAGCACATGTGAAGCCACCCGTTTACTTGATACTTCAATGTACACTGTTTGACATTTGATAAGTCAAATGTGAATCCAACAACAAACTTCTTTCTTTTTGTTGTGCTTTTTTTGTTGTTGTTTGTTTGTTGAGACACGGTTTCTCTGTGTAGCTTTTGGAACCTATCCTGGCATTCGCTCTGGAGACCAGGATGGCCTCGAACTCACATAGTTCCGCCTGCCTCTGCCTCTCAAGTGCTGGGATTAAAGGCAATGTGTCACCAACACCTGGCAACAACAAACTTCTTAATACAACTATGAAATGAGATAAATAAAAAAGCCTATTCTTCAACACGTAAACAAACAAACAAACAACAAAAAACAAAATAAAACAACAACAAAAAAACCAGGGGGACTGCATTACACCAGAGCATGCCTATCCCCAACAACCTGCATTTTCACATCAAATCCCTAAGAGTCAGCTCATGCATGATTGAGAAATGCATCATTTTATAAGAGCAAAATTACATAAGTAGTTTTAAAAGTCATCATTTACACTTCTGACTACCGAGTAGCTAAAGAAGAGAACTGATGACAAAGCAATCACTACAGGGCTAGGGGTCGGACTGTTCCGACACTGTCCCAGCATCTGTGAACCCAGGACTCTATTCTGTAGCTCCACAAACAACAACAAAACCACCCACTGCTGCACCTTTCCTAGAACAGAGAACTGAGATCTATCAGGTCAAGTACAAGTCAATACAAATCAAGAATTCTACCTTCCAGAAACCAATACAGACTGCTGTAATATAAACTTCGTATCTCATTTAACCTTAAAATAAATTATAAACATACACTCATAAATTAACAATTTAGCTGTTTTCATGTTGGAATGATTCTCTAAACACGCTTCAAAGTAAGCGCTTTAAAATTTGAATTGTCACAAAAAAAAAAAAAAGCTGGGCATTGGTGGCGGACGCCTTTAATCCCAGCACTCGGGAGGCAGAGGCAGGCGGATCTCTGTGAGTTCGAGGCCAGCCTGGTCTCCAGAGCGAGTGCCAGGATAGGCTCCAAAGCTACACAGAGAAACCCTGTCTCGAAAAACCAAAAATAAAATAAAATAAAATAAAATTTGAATTGTCATTCAATAAAGAGGCACTACTCAAATTCTTCAAAGGGCTCTTTGTTATTTGCAAACAATGCATTTAACTTGGGGTTGCAACTGTACATATTTTCTTCAGGTTCAACTCAACATTTGACCCAGGGTTACATTCTTCATATAGGGTAGATCCAAGCAATAACCAAAGATGGCAAGTGGTCTAAAAGCTGCAAGCTGCCACCTGATGGGCAGTCTTTGCTCAGTGTTCCAGAGAACTGGTGGGCCACAGGTGTGTATAGTTGTGCCGATGGCTATGCGTGCATGCCAACTTCCCTTCTACAGGTGTTACTCCCTGACGCTGCTTTCACCTCAGGCTCAGCTTTCCCTAGGACAATCAATGTTGATCTGTTTGCATATGCTCCATAATTTTTCGATTGAACCCTTTGTTTTACTGCACATTTCATGGCTATTTAATCCATGCCATTCTTTAACTTTTGATGGGAAAAATCCGTAAGAGCAATGAATTTACATCCAAAGAATGGCTACAGTATTTAGGAACAACTAATGCAGATTGGTTTAAAGAGACATTCTCATCATGGTCAGGCAAGAAGTCAGCACTGTGTTACTTCTCAGGATGGCTGTCTACCATGTTTTCTGAGATATGCTCACCATATGCTCACCAATTTGGCCATGCTGGCCAACCAGTAAGCCCCAGGATCCTTCTGTTGTTGCCTCCCCAGCACTAGAATTACTGCAAGTACACGCCAGGATACAGCATTTTTACATATGTGTTGGGGATCAAACTTGAGTTCTCATACTTGCTTTGCAAATACTTTACCAACTGACATACCACTCAATGTTAATATAATTAACTTGAAACTGTTATTTATGGGTAAGCCTTAATTAATGCCCTAATCAAGGTCTTAAAACTGAATAACTCAGAGCCACACTATACTGTAAGAATACTTCTTTAATCTTGAACAAATGTTACACAGATAAAATACTGATAACAATATGGGGATTTTAATGATATGAAAATAAATTTTCTATTAACATCTGAACTTGTATATAACAGCAGAGTATTTTCTATTAACATCTGAATTTGTGTATAACAGCAGAGTATTTTCAAAGGAAGTAGGATTCATGATTAATGGTTGATGAGCAGTTTCTATGTCAGTCAGCTAAACTGCAAGTATAGATTTTATTTGTGCAATCCTCACAAAAACCTTAATAAAAAAGTAGTTTTTAATTTCACATAGAAATAAGTATATTTAAGCAAAAAATTACCTGGCCACAGGTTAAGAGTGAATAAAGAGCATAGCTACAACCTGTAGAACATCCAGCCAAAGCTTAAGAAGGGCTAACTGAGCTCTTGTGATTTTTTTTGTTTTGTTTTGTTTTTCGAGACAGGGTTTCTCTGTGTAGCTTTGGAGCCTATCCTGGCACTTGCTCTGGAGACCAGGCTGGCCTCGAACTCACAGACATCTGCCTGCCGCTGCCTCCCGAGTGCTGGGATTAAAGGCATAGGCCACCAACTCCCGGCTCACATGGTAATTTTTAAGATCTTTTGAACCTAGTGGTCCTTCACAAGGAAGTCCATTTAGGGAGGTCTGGGAAGATGGCTCAGCTGATCAAATGCTTGCTGAGATCATGAGGATCTGAGTTCAACAACCAGCAGCCACATAAAGACAGCCGGATGAGGCAGAAGGTACCTATAATCCTGGTACCAGGGACAAAGACAGGAGATGCCCTAGAGCTTGTGGGTCAGCCAGCCTTCCAGGTTCAAAGAGATCTTTCCTCAAAAAAAAAAAAAAAAAAAAAAAGAGTATGCTGAAGGAAGACACCCAGTGCCACCCTCTGGCCTCCACAGACATTCACACACATAAAATTCATTTAGTATATATGTCCATTAATGATTTCTAAAACAAAAAATTACCTCTGAAATGAAGAATTCTTTATGTGTTTCTTCGGCTGCTCTCTGGACCAATTTGTTAAACGGTAAAGTTCTAAAATAAACATAACAGAATCCTTAGACATAAAAATAACATACCAACTAGCAATGCCATCACGATGCATGTAGGCTTGGCACAGTTGAGTGCCATGTGTTTTGAACTATCCAGCTTTTAGTATAATCCATGTGGATGGAATTCTGAATACAATTCATTTAGCAGTATATAAATTTGACCTGTTACCTGAATTTTTAGACTTAAAGATTTTAAATTTATGGTTCAGATGGCTCTTCAAAAGGTCAATATCCTTTCCAAGTTACTAAGAGAGACGTTTCCATGGTACCAGGGTACTTTGACAATACACAGACTGGGGGTGAGTAAAGAATGCAGTGAGCACTCATTACTCTTGAGGACAATGTACACGCAATGTTCTCAGCTCTCACATGGTGGCTCACAACCATACACAACTCCAGTTTCAGATGACCTGGTGCCTCTTCTGGCCTCCATGGTCACCAGACACACATGCAGTGCACTTACATACACGTAGGCAACCCATACACACAAAATCAAAGTAAAGTTACAAAATAAAATACATGAACTTTGAGGCTCTGACTGCCACCTGTCTTTATGTGACATGCCAAATAACCCTGTGAATGAATGGACAGCCACCAGTCTCACACTAGTAACAGAGTGTAATGATTACTAGTGAAGACCCTCCAGCCCCTCCCTCCTGCTTCTTCACCCTCAGCACAGGAGGCAGCAATGCTGCGCTCACCCTCCTGCTTTACCTGCCATGCTATGGCTTCTGGAGAAATGGTCAGACATCTTAGAAACGATGCTTGTTTCCATTACACCACACTCCTCAAGTTAGAGAGTTATTGCTCCAGTTATTCTAGTATCTTCTAGAACCAAAAGCACTTCCTAGATGTAGTTCAGTGGCAGAGGGCTTCCCAGCTTTCATCAGACCCTGGCTTTTAACCCAATCACAACAAACAAACAGACAAATAGCAAAACCATTCCTCAACTATAAAGATGCTACCATGTCAGTAGCAAGACAAGGAAATCCTCACAAGTTTGTCCTCCAATGCCCCACTGGAAATTTATGAGTATGTGTAGGAGAGGAGGAGGGAGAACTGTAAACTCTCCTCAATGAGAGGCTGACCTTGGGCTAGCTTACCTTCTCCAGTATTGCTGTTTTCCCTAAACACATTGAGTAGGGATATGGGTTTAATGTCAGCTATGATACCAGGCAATGCTGTTTACTGTACAAGAATGTGGTTTTCAATGTGTGAATGTGCCCCTTAGAAAAGCTACTGTGGCCTATTTCAAGCCACTAGCTTTGGGGGACACTTACCTAAGATGGGTTATGTGTTTTAGTACCATCCCCACAGTCTTACTTTGTTATAACTAAGTTATCACTGGATGGCCAAAAATGACTCTTGGATCACAGAATTCACTGATAACATTCTGCTAATAGGCTGTTTCCAGTCCTGTATTCATTCTTCTGAAAACCTAAATAAATTTCTGTCACACTATGGAATGTGGGACTTGGGAGTGTAAATATCAATCTGAACTGAAGCTATTGCTGGGAATGGTGTACAGTACTGCAGAAAGAAAGGAGTCTGCATTTACTCAGTCCCATGCAGGGCTCTGCCACGTACCACAAACAGTTTCTGATCTATTTTATCAGCAAACTTACTTAGCACTTTCCTCTTCAACACTCTCTACCAAAAGCCTTACTATACACACATCATTAAGATCTGGGGAAGCTAATGTGGCCCATAACTACCTGTGTAACTGCTGTAATTGTCCACACTTAGCTTTCGTATTAGAGAGAACAAAGAAATACTTGTAACTTCTTCACAAAAGCAGCACTGACCAGTGACCCTGCGAGAGCAAGATAAAGCAGCCCCATGTGAACGTCAGTCTATCCACAACCTGCCCCTACATAGCAGCTGAGAAGCTCCTCGGCCTTAGGTTTTCTCTGTCCCACCATGTTCTGAGCAGGTCTTTTATCACAGCGCCTTTTCTCAGCACCAGCACACAAAACAGTAAGTGAGACAGTATCAAAGACGGCTTCTTTCTCATGGATTCTGTGACAAGCAAATTCCAATATACACCTGGGTTTTATCATTTGAAACTACATGATCGTAGACAAATTGTTTAGTATTTTAAATTTAAATAAAAAATTATTATATGTATCTATTTGTGGGGGACGCTGGATGTGGGTAGATGTACTCAGTCACACCATGGCATGTGTGTGGAGGTCAGAGGACAACTTGCAGGTCAGCACTTCTACCATGTGTGTCCAGGGCATCGAGCTTAGGACATAAGAGTTATCCTCTGAGCCATCTAATGAGCCCCCAGTTACTTTTTTTAAACCTTCATTTTCTCATCACTATAAGCAACATCTATAATATAGGTTATCTTACAGTTTAAATGGGCAATATTAGCTAGTGTTGGCACAGTACCTAAGACATTGTGACAAAAGTAGCAATGTACCTTTATCAACATACAAGTAGTTAACATAAAAAACAAACAATAACAACAAACCCCTCAATTTATCACCCATTCTGTTTTTGGAATGGCTGCTTTATGAGAGCAACACCAGGTTTGATGGACAGTAAAAGGATGAGGACAGACTTAGATGATGCGGCAAGTGGAGGTTCCAGAGCTAGGCTTCTGCTCACGTGGAACTTGTATTCAGAATACCCTGACTGGGGAAGGATCAGCAGCAGAAACAAGAGAAATGGGCATGCTAATACTTGGCAAGGCATGTCCTCTAGACACCCGAGGAAGGATAACAGCAACTCAATCTGAAGTGATTATATATCAATGCATGTTATATATCTATAGGATTTCTGATGTTTTAATATCTCTAGATTAAATTCCTTCTTTCTGACTACTTAGGAAATGCTAAAAAAACAAACTAAATCTACTTTTTTCCTTGCACAAAAATAATTTTTCATGATTTTAGTAGCTTTAGTGAAAGGCTTTGAAGAAGCTGGAATAGAAACTATTAAATATATATGTTTTAAAAGCAAGTTTTGAAAAGTTTAAAAGACATGAAAAAACATCAAAATGATTCAAGATGAAGTTTCAATACCCACTTGTAATGGCACTAGATTCTGAAAAATAATATTAACCACCAAAAACCATTCATCCCTCCAGCAGTTTCTTCCACTTCTTTGATTTAATAAAAAGTGCAAAGTTCTTAGACTTGGAAAACTTAATGGCAATTAAGTTCACTTTGTGGCCCTTGAAGTGACCACTCAATCGGAAACCGAGAAATGCTTTGGCACTCACTACATGAGCTTGGAGAGCACCCATGAGAGAGAAATGGCTCCAGCACCAGAAACCCTGCCTAGCTCATCACTGATCTGAAATCTGTGACAAACAGGGTCTTTCAATAGATTGAACCTGTTGGGAGCTGCACATACTCAGAATGCGAACGTTGTTTGTTTTTTAATCTACCATTTGAATGAATCTCATGGGAATAAATAGCACATGAAATCTGCTCTCAAACATAGACACTCAGCAGCTGATTTACCTGCCAGAGATCACACAGTACCATACGACCAGCATGGAAAAAGCTCGGCATGGGTTTTAAACACTACAAAATGGAAGTCAGTGTGCATCAAATGCAGGCTGCCCTGTGCTTCTTGAGAGGTGGAAAGTCAGCCTTTACGACAACTTCCTGCAGTGGGTAATGGCAGCAGAGATGGGAGGGTCAGCAAAGACTGAATGGGGACAGCACACCATTTCAGAGGCAACCTAACAACCTAAGAATAGAAATTCTGTTCCATGACTCCACAGGATAAAGGGTGCACCATATATTTAAAAACTAAGACTGTGGCAATGTCTCTGTACAATTACACAAACTCAAATTTCTTGCCTTTTAAGCCACTCATTAAAAAGCAATAAGTGAGCCCGGGATTACATAAACTAGACTATAAATGAGATGCAGTATGGTCTTATCCAATGACGTAGAAATCGTTTTGAAGGTTTCAAAATTATCTGTGTCCCCAGAGTAACCTCAGAAGAAAATACCTATACACAAAGTTCTTACTGATGAAGTTCATCTGTGGGACTGCAGCAACATGAACCTTCACTTCTTTCGTCCCTCCAGCTTGGCTCAGGTAACCCACTGTCCACTTGCTTGTACAAGACCCCAAGTCGAGTCCTTCCAACACCAGAGGCATTCTCTGTAACGAAGATGAAAAACACAACTGTAAAGGTGAACACTCCATCAGGAGCTGCCTTGGGATCAGAGTGTGGCCTTGAGCTGAGTCTAAGATATTCCGACTTAAAGCATCCAACAGTTTGTGCCATTACTAAAACATGCAGATTACCTACGTCATACACCCAGGAAAAAACCTAACATTAGGAAAACAAAACAGTCTTGTCAACAGACAAAAGAAATCCAAATACTCAACTATTTTCATGTTATTTATGGCAAAAATAATTAAATTTTACTTCAGTTTTGTAACTTTTAATTTTGATAACTCTTTTAAGCTTTCTAAAAAATGCAAGAACATAAGAATTTCCACCTGTTCTCTCCTTGACTCACCAACTTTTCAATATGGAGTCCCATTTGTGTTATCCATTTGTGTATCCAATTTGGAGTCCCATTTGTGTTACAGAGACAGATACACTATTAAACCTAATTTTTCTGAACTATTTCAAAGTTAAGCTGTTAACATGTCCTCATCTCTAAAACTGGAATATATTTTCTGAAAATAAGGCTATTCTCTTACACAGCAATTATCAAAGTTGTATCTCACACTGACATATATTTTATGTAACCCACCATGCACATTTCTGAAAATAAGGCTATCCTCTTACACAGCAATTATGAAAGTTTTATCTCACACTGATATATTATTACATCACCAAACAACGCACATTTCAGTTTCACTAATTATCCCAGTAATTCCCTTTAGAGTTATATCTCACACTGACATATTATTATGAAACCCACCATGCACATTTCAGTTTCACTAATTATCCCAATAATTCCCTGACCCAGAATTCAGGCTGAGATGTCACTACGATTCAGTGATCACATCTCTTTCCATCTGGAAGGGTTCATCAGCTTTCTTTGTTTCTATGACCTTAATAATTTTGAACACATAAGCCAATTATTTTGTTGGATTCCCTTGGATTTGGGTTTATCTAGTTTCTTCATGATTAGATTTTAGGTTATGTAATTTGGGTAAGGAATGTTCCACACAAGGACTGGAGTAGTCCTCTCAGGGCACAGCAAGTAGCACACGATATCCTGCTCTAACATTTACTCAATCTCTAGGCCTCCACATTTACTGGTAGAATTTAATGCTCAAATTATCAGAGTTGACCAGTGGGATTCTTTGGGCTGGTTCCTGTGACTTTTAAAACTAAATGTTTCCTTATTTTATAACAAAATAAAACAATTCAGTTATCTTTTTCATTTTCCCTGCCTAACCCTTCAATCCATCATTTCTTTAAGAAACTCTCATTTCTTTTAAGTGGGAACTTTTCTCTTGGCATTTTAACTATGTATCTAATGTATTGTTATTATATTCCTCTACCCTAAAGGGGTTCTTTTAGTGCTGTAGCATAGCATCTGCCTTCTCAATGGTAAGAGCTGAGAAACATGGAAGGGCATCTATATAACCCCCCAAAACACAAATCTAGATATGCAATTATGTATCTTTATCTCTCACCATACATGTACATATACATAGGCTTAACGTATTATAAATAATGTATATGTCAAAGTTAAAGTTAAATTTAGCCTTTACTGTATCTTTGCAACTTTTTTGTTCAACAATGAAAAACTTCTTTCCCACCATCAATATTGAATCACCTGCAAAACTCCAGAAAATACTTTCAGAACTGCTAGTTTACAAGCCTACTAGCTAGAATTGTTTTCAGTCCTTTTCATCTATAAATTGAAGACATAATTAAAGCACTATATTTTAAAGATAACTTATGCCCCCAAAATAGGCTCATTTGTTACTTCTTTTCTTGTCTTTTTTTTTTTTTTTTTTTCTTTTGAGTTTTCAAGACAGGGTTTCTCTGTGTAGCCTTGGCTGTCCTGGAACTCATGATATAGAGGAGGCTGGTGTCAAACTCAGGTAAGTCTGCCTCTGCCTCCCATGTGCTGGGGTTAAAGGCAAGTGCTGTCAACCTCCCAGCTATTTCTAGTTTAGGGTTGTTTTGTTTTTAATCATTTCTCACTTCTGTTGAATTTTTGTGTTTGTTTTGTTTTGTTTGAGACAGATTCTTACTATGTAGTCCTGGCTAGCATAGAACTATGTAGAACAAGCTGGCAACAAACTCACAGAAATCCACCTGCCTCTTTCTAGCCCCATCATTGTTTGCTTTTTAAAATTACTTCAGAATATAAAATATTAATCTGATTCCCCTCAAAACCAGCTACCTCACCACATTCCTCCAGTTCATAATCACTCATCCTCTAGAGACGGCCATTTAATTTCCTTCTTTTTTTGTTTGTTTTTTTGAGACAAGGTTTCTCTCTGTAGCAGTGGCTGCCCCAACATTCACTCTACAGACCAGGTTGGCCCCAAACTCAGAGATCCACCTGTCTCTGCTTCCAAGTGCTGTAATTAAAGGTGTGCACTACCACTGCCTGTATTTTTTTATTGGAAGTGCCCTCAAACACAAATTTGCATTTTCCTTCTAAAAAAAAAAAGGACTATGTATTTTCCTTTTTAAAGTTTAAAAACATATTCTTTGAAAATTATTGCTATCAATTCCCACATTATTCTTTTTGTAGCTTAGTGTATCAAAGAATAAATGAGAAGAAATCATCTAATTTCCTTCCCATGTTTACTTCTAATAATTAATTGTATAATAGACTTTTGTGGATATTATCATATACTTAAGATAAATATCTGCAAAATAAAATTCCTAAATAAGAAATTATTTACTTATAATTAAACTCAGTGGAACACTACATACAAAGACATGAAGTAGGAGAGAGAAGGGTTGCAATAGGAGTGGAAATGAGCAAAATTCATTACATCATGTATGAAGCTGTCAAAGAATAAAGAAAAATAAATTTTAAAAATTGCTGGGTTATAAAGTAAACATGTAGTTTATGAGCTGTATCAATAGTTGAATCATTTGGTACAAATCACTTGGCTGCTATTTCAACACAACCTCACCAAGGTCGAATTATCAAAGTGTCTTCATCTTAGGTAATATATGTGGTAAGAATTAATATCTCAGGGCAGGCGTGAGCAACCCAACCTGGTTCATAGAAATAAACAGTGATGAAAACTGCTGTGTTTTTCTGTTGGTTGGTTTTATTCTACCTCCACCAGACTTACTGTAACTGAGGCTGGGCAGAAAGACAGGGGCATGGGAAAGGTTGGGAGACCCTCACCCTGCAGTCTGAAGTCTCTTACCAGCTGAGAGATAAGAATTCAGCACAACTAAACAGGCTTGGTGGTGCACAACTTTAATCCCAGCACTGGGGAAGCAGAGGCTGGTGGATTTCTCTGAGTTCCAGGGACAGTCAGGGCTACACAGAGAAACTTCCTAAGCCCCCCCCCCAAAAAAAATTGAAGCACAATTAACAAAATTTGCTGGGAGGTTGCCTACATGGAGGCAATATTCCTTTTTATAAGGAAATATTTCAAATAAAAATATTATAGCAACAAATCATGACTAAGGCCAAAGCACATATAACCAGGTATGGCTAGACTAAAACTCCACTTGCAGTAAAAGCAGGTCTTTCTTAGCCTCCTTGTGCAACCTTAGTTTTACCCGGTAAAACTATAATATTATCCAAAGCATCTCTCTATTGAAGCGTGGCCTTAAAAACTGTTAATAAACTTAAGTATGCTTCATACTGACTAGATCAGGAATTCTGCCTTCTGAGCAGCGAGCTCTCAAAGGCACACTCCAGGCTGCTCTTGCATCCCACCCCACTGCCACTAACACAACCTTAGAGACTTTCCCTTCGAAAATTCGCCAGAATTCTTACTGCTTTTTCTTGGAACTTGGACTACCTTGCAAAGTCCCGGAAGCAAACTTTTTTCTTTTTTAAATCTAACTGCTTTCTGCTAGTTTTTCTTTAAAAAAAAAAAAAAAAAAAAAAAAAAAAACTAAAGTGTTTATTAAGCCTTAATTATAAGCCGGGCGTTGGTTGTGCACGCCTTTAATCCCAGCATTTAGGAGGCAGAGGCAGGCGAATCTCTGTGAGTTCGAGGCCAGTCTGGTCCACAGAGCGAGTTCCAGGACATCCTCAAAAACAATACAGAGAAACCTTGTCTCGAAAAACAAAACAAAAGCCTTAATTATGATCCAAGTTAAAATCAAAGACCTATACCAGAGGATGGTTTCCCTGTTGGAATATCCCTCACTGGACTCAAATGCTGCGCTTCAAAAATCTATTATCCTGGAATAAACAGGAACTAA